TTCCTAATGCACACCCTTCTCGCTACTTCATTCCCCGCATCGGCGCGGGGGCTTACCCATGTGTGGGGGTCTAAAACTGTCCTCTACAATCCGCATTATAATAGAATCTAGTCGATTAACGCTACTTAAGTCTTTTGTTGATAATGGATTTGTCATCATCATCTATTTGCCCTTATCTCTTATAGAGGGCCGGCACAGTATGTGCTGCTCTTCCATACATCTCTATCAGCCGTCATATCTGAATCCACTAATTCTTAAGCATATCCTCTTTCATACAAGCCATCTATACTTTCTTTAGTCTTTTTCTACCTTTGTAGCCATCCACATTCAATCTTAACACTTTCTGGTTTATGTCCCCATCGTATGGATTAGTACCGTTAACAATATTCTATATGTCCAATAAAGATAATAACATAAATATCTCTTGTTGGATGACGTCATTAGAGATCAACGCCTCAGATTTTTGAAATGTAAGCCCACACAGATTTATAACAATACTTTGCTCTTATTATTAATATTAAAATATCCTTATGAGTCAACTTGATATTGAATAAAAATTAACGGAACATAAAAACAATTTCACGTCAAAAGCAATCTTCTTGTGTTGTCAAATAATTATTACAATTTTTATTCGGCCTTAATTTTTAAAAATACTAGTTTTCGCCCGCGACTCCGTCTGCGTGGAATTTAAAAAAAAAACAAAAGTTAGTAGCCTATGTGTTCTTCTAGTCTATCCTCTACATCTATGCCAAATTTCATCGAGATCCGTTCAGCCGTCAGGCTACAAACTAACAAACATTTATCTAAACATTTGCATTTATAATATTAGTATGAAGTTTATAACAATTATTTACTTGAACTACGAGTGCAAATTTGTCTCAGCACAGAATTTTAAAGTTTTCGACGCACCAATGTGTATTTTACTATGTTATTTTGTTTGTTTAAATTTACAGTGGACAAGGAAGCCTTTCAAAAAGAACAATCCCTTCCAAGTTATCGTAAACAGGGTCGTTGTACCTGTGTCTACAAGACAGATGGCATTACGACGCCTATAAAGTGCAAACTGACATGAAATATTAATATTCAATTGTGTCAAGTTTACGACAAGCGTATAAATCACATTACTTAAAGTAAGTGTTGACTTACATTATAATAGGTTAGAAAAAAACGGCAACTTGTTAAAACGTAAAGTAATCCGTCAAATGATTAATGATTGTTCATTTTGCGTGATAATTAATAGTTGAAATGTCTTATTTAACCCAGTTATGTATCATTTAGTGTCAATGTAATTGCATAATTTATTTTGGAAAGTAACTTAACACCGCCGTAATTCAATATTATCAAAACGGGAACTTTAGTTCGTGCTTGCCAAACACAAGCTAGCTCGACCGACGCGACGCGGTGAAGGCTATATTTAGCTAAACGCTGGCGAACGTGTTCAAGTGGCACGTTCAGGCCAGACGCCTGATCCAATATAACTTGACTAACTTTAACTTAACCCTTAAGGTGTGACTTAAACAATAACAACTCTCCTTTGTCGAAGAATTATTTTCTTTCTAGAAAGGTTTATTTAATTTCTCTTAAATTGTATAAAACAAGTAATTAATATTGTAGATTGTAATGTATTACTTACCATCAATATTATTCACTTGTCCTTTTCCATTCGGAAGATCAGCTCAGTATGTAATACTCTTTCATACATTCCTATAAGCCGTCATATCTGAATTCACTCCTGTCTTACTTAAGATTACAAATTACAAATGCCACTTGTTTATTTTAAGTGTGTTACGAATAGGAAGCTTTACAAAACATTGTTATACAGACGATGTTTACTCTAACATGCTCATGTTAAAGCGCACATGGGTCGCGACCCAAAAAGTAACGTATGTAACTATTTGGCTAGTTGCAGCAAGTCCACGCCAACGCAAATACGTTACGATTGTTAAATAATTAAAATGCGTTCAAATTAATTTTGAATGCTTACAATACAAACAATTTGCCAGTGACACAATATCTAAAAACACGGAAATATAATTTGCTAATGGTAAATCTATGCAATAAGAATTAGTAACGAATAATTTTGTGTCTCTTGCTGATTTAAGAAAAAAATTACATTTGACGTATAACATTTTCCATTACAATATCTGTGAGATATCTAATTTTTTACGCATTACAATAAGTTGACACAATAGCCGACATCGTTTGTACTCGTAAACTACTTTTAATTTTTCTAAAGGAAAGAAATTAGAACGAACGCTGGCAATGGATTGTGTAAAAAGAGTAACCTACCGTGCCGCTTCGTTGAACCAAACAAAGCCAATACGATTATACGATAGACTTCTTCTAAAATAAACGGGAAGTTCAATTTGTTGTTATCACCATGGAGAGAAAGTAACACTTTCACGACTAAATCAATGGTAAATAAATCGTTTTCAATTAAAACATCGATAACAGCTCTGTAACAGGATTGAATCGATTTGAAGAATTGGATTGGATATTTTATTGGTCGAGTTTTGGTCACGTAATAATCTACTTTTAAGAAATTTGAATAAATCGACCGTCGAATGCACGGTAGTTATTATGTAAGCATTAAACATATATATCGGTTATCGTACATCAGTGAATAACAGTCATGGTTTCGAATGTCGTGTAATAAAAATATTCATATGTATTTTTTTTACTTAAAAAATACTAAGAATCAAAAGGCTAAAATTCTAAACTACCTACGTATTTTAAGGTAATATGTATAGCGTATACTTTTCGAGATTTTAGAGAGGAAATGGCTTTCGATAAAGTGACCTGAGCGCTGCAAACTGGTACTGATTACGATAACGTTCGTCATTTCCGCATAATAAATTTAACATTAATCATGTGTTGAATTAATAACATTATCTGTAAGAACTACTTATATTACTATTTCCATTATTTTGTCAAAAGTAACACATTCATCATACCATCTGCGGATTCCGCGTGGTTATATAAACCTCAATTATATAAAGGTTTAATAATAATCGAGGTAAAGAGGCTGTCAAAATTACGACG